GATTGTTCCAAGATTTTTAAAAATATTGCAAAAAAATATATGGGTTTCAGTTTCTTATTAATTCACAGAAAGAAATGACATTGCATAACATGCAAAGACCAGGATACAACCTCATTTATTTCTTGCCTTACATTAGGCCATAGCATCTTGTCCATAATTTATGTCTGTGTTTTTCAACTTTTCTGAGGTGAAGGATCAGATTTCCCTCCCTTCTAATATTCACTCTTGACAGTAATACATATTAAAAATTAATGATTTTCAAAAAGTAAATAGAATGTCCAGAATAAAACTTTTTATTTTATTCTTAGAATACCAGATCTAAAATAGCAGTGTTGAATTTCTGGAAAGTTTCTATGTATTTTCTTTCAGTTCTATACTTTTCAAGAATAAGTAGCACACATTTCCTAGTCTGGCTCTCTTCCTCTGATCACATTTAGGTCACACTTCGGATATTTCCAAGTGTTTAGAAATCCAACTTTCAAATTTAGGATATTTTCTACTATGGTGTCTTTAACTCTTCCATTTGGGTTCCTGTCATGAGTAGGACTAGTGCTCTAGACAATTTTCAATTCTCAGATGGAGGGATCCACCTCTAGTATACTGTTTGTTGCTATCATCATCTTCTTTAATTATTGCAGTTATGTTGAAATTGGTCTGGCTGCTTCTATACTTGTTCTCATCCCAAGTTCATTCTCAATAGCAATCAGAATGATCCTGTAAAAAAGGCAGACTCTCCTATTAAAATTTTTCCACAGTTTCATGCTACTCAGAGAAGAAAAACCTAAGTTCTAGAATGATCTACAAGACTATGATATGCCTGTAAACTAACCCCGGGACAGAATTTGCAGATGAAGAGTGTAAAGGCCTTCTTTCATTTGTTCCATGCCTATGTTTATGGACAGACGCTACTAGTATCATGCTTGGCCTATCATCAATGTGACAGATGTTCAAATGATACTCAATGGCTTCATTAAGAAAGCAACAACTTCAGTGCAGGTTCATATCCAGAGAGTACCTAATAGCCCATGCCTAAAGCTCAACTTTAATGTAGACATGAAATTACAGGTCAACTTTAAATTCAAGAGAACATGTAGAAAGTCTGTATACCATGTAACTCTATCTAGCCACCTCATCATAGTTAAATCAGAAAACCAGATGGAAGTTTTGCTGCATTTCTTCCCTGGCATTGGTAGCTGCTGTCTGGTACTCTGATCAATAAGGACTATCTATATAGTTAACTATATGATTCAATTTTCCATTAATTTTTAAAGCTTTTATGTTGATTATAACAGAGATACTTACTGCTGAATAAAAATACTTCTGGTTTGATTCATTGTACGATTTTTGATAATTTATCCTAACCTCTGTTTTGTCTTGCCTGGTTACACAAAAAACACATATAAATGAATGCATAAATTATTAGAATGTTGTATAAACTCCCACTGAAATTGATAAACATTAAACATATAATATTTTTATATAATTTGCTTTGAAGCTAAATGCTTTTATTTCATATTTTAAGAATTATCATTGTTCTGTATTTGAAGACCACTGGAAGCCTGGAGTTTATTGACACAGAAAATTGAACTAACTTTCTCAAAAGAAATATTTTTTATCTTACTGTTTCTCTAGCATGTCAATGCAGACTGTCTGAAGATAGGGTAATTTATATTATGTCTCTGCTATAGTTCATCATCTATTATGATGTTTATCACATAATGACTTCCAAAGATAAATTGCTGAATATGCAATGGAATAGTGAATGCGGAAATATTGGAGTCATATTGTGTATAATACTTACCAGTTGTGTAACCTTTGTCTTTCTACTTACAAAATGAGAATAATCATATCTGTGCACAATTTTTATGAAGATAAAATGATTTAATATGAGTAAAGTATGCAAATCATGTCTAGAAATTACAGGCTCTATTAAAATATTGTTATTAAATTGGCCTTAATAAATGAGACACTTCTTTTCCTTGATTTACGAGTTGTGTTAATGAGCCATATGTGATCCTTATCATATCCCTCATAAAAGAGCAAATTTTTGTTTTGCAATTTTGACAATGATTCTCACAGATGGATCAAGAATATGGCAAGGAATCAATGTAAAACCACCTTTAAAAGAGACTTTGGTGCTCAGGTATTTGGAGAAAATAATGACACTAGCCAAAGAAAGTCTTGATCTTGATAAGCCACTAAGATGACGGAACCATTTTCAGAAGAAAAAGAAAGTAAGAAAATGGTTTATGAGGAAAGATGATGAACCAGTTTTAATTCCTTCAGGTTAAGGCCCAGATTCCAAACATTAGGGTCTCTTCTGTGGTAATCTAAAGCAGCAGCTCTGGGCTTTGAGCACACCATGCCCTTTGAACCCAGCTGCAAAACAGGTGTTATATGCTTATCTTTCTTCATCTGCAGGCAACAAAGTTAGAGGTCTAAACACCTGCTTCAGATTATGTTGCTTTGTTGATTCATACGGTCCACACACTCGGCTTACTTCATTCATTAGGTAGAAGACAGCAGAAAGGAGTTCTCCATGGCTCTGTATTAGTGATGGATATGGATGCAGTACCCATTATTGCCCTGGCCTAGCATATTCTGACTCCAAAGATATTACAGCAATCCCCCTCCAACTACAAAAGCTATTTCAAAAGAAATATACCAACAACCATGAATATCTCCTCCATTTATTTTTCTAAACCCAACTTTTGTCATTTCTAGTTTATTTCTGTTTACAGAAGAACATAAGTTTGTACCGTCCAACAATAACATCATATTCTGGGTTTATATCTGAGTAGCCTTAAAAAGCTATCTCTAACTGATAAAAGAAAAAAAAAAAAACTGTAAGACCCATGTTCCAACATTGCAACTGGAACAATATCAATGACCTAACTACATCTTTTAGTGACAAGCAACATAGGGTCACAATAGTACCTGGAAATCTATGGCCTATCATGTAGAGATCTGTATAGCTAACAACTCTTCTGGCAAATCACAATTAAACATCAATTGTTCATTCAACATAAGTATTTTAAATCATATACTCTACTAGGATCTAATTTGTAATCAAGCCAGAAAAATTCTAGGATGTTACATTGCTTACATTTTGAATGACAACATCAAAGAGTATAAAATATTAATGACGTGATTATGGATAAATAAAGGTTCAAAAACTGTCAGATTAGAGCATGACTAAGGAGTGTGTTACTTTATTTTGTCTAATTTGCAAAAGTCTCTGTGGAGGTGACCAAAGCTGAGAGGAAGATTGGTATAATTGAAGGACAGTAAGAAATTCAATGTCATATAAATACACAATAATATGTGTCATATTATTATACATAAAATAGACATTAGTTTGAGAGGCAGATACGTGGTTCAAAAATTATTGTGTCAGAAAAACTCCTCTCAAAAAATGCTTCAATCATGACAAAGTTCACTCACATAGGGAACATAAAAACATAGTTTCACTGTGTACTTGTGGGAACATGTAAAAAGTCCCCTCTTCAAACTTTTTATTTTGACAGTGGTCACACAGTGGGCAGGTAAAAAGAAAACTTGAGTTTCTTCATTTATGGTTCCAAAGAAATCCTTAAAACTCTCCTTTCTTCTTGGTTCTGAATAAGCTTTCTGAAAATATCATATGGAAAAATCACAGATTCCCAATGGTGGAAGGAAAGGCTCAGTGCCTCCTTGGTGAATAAAAGATCTGGATAAATGATCTTGAAATTGCCTCACATGGAGTAAAACTTACACTAAGAAAGCTATACAATCTGCTTAATTATTCCATTCAAAGGGAAAATTTAACAAATATTTTATGGGTGTTGTATCTTAACAGCTTTCTGCTCTCCAATATGTTCATTCAAATATGCCTCTACTAAAGTAGTTAAATAGTTTTAAATAATTTAAGAAGCCATTCAAAAGCAAAGGAAGAAATAAAGTATATAACATGACAATAATCATAAGTCAAAATAACAAAGAAAATAAAAAAATAGGCAAGGTAGCATTAATATACTCTTTTACTTCATTGCCATTCTCCTGGCCCTGTCCATTAAAACTGCCCTCAAATCTCATGTTCACTTCCTAATTGCCCAAAATGTGAAATTCTCCCCAGAATATGCCCATCAACAAAGACACACATAGAAACACACACACAGTCTTAGGTGTAGTCATGCCAGTCCAAATCTGCTTTCATTAAATGGGTGACATTCCTATGCTATTATTTTATTAAATAATATAGAGATGCATAAATCCTGTAATCATCAAGGAGTCTGAGGCATTCACCTGCATCATACCTCTGCTGAGACACAAAGGGAGAGAGAAGTCATTTTATTTTATTTTTTTAAGAAGTCATTTTAACACATGCACAGTAAAATGACACACAATTGTCAAGAAGGAAGTGGACTGAGACACTTTGTTTTGTCAATAAACACGTGCTTGTCAGCATTTATTGAAATCTGTTATATTCAGGCAGAAGCAGAAACATAATTTGTTCCAGGAGATGACAAAATAAAAATGCTCTTTTTGGAAAACTGTAAAGAAAGTCCAAGATGGCAACAGAAGAGCATCAATTCTGTTTAAATGCTTCAAAGCAAGCAATCCTGAGTGCTCACACAGGTATATGCACCGAAGTCCTACTTTTAACCATCTGACAGCAGGAAAAGAGAAAATCACCTAAATGATGGCTGATAAAGCAAAGGAGATGCATGGGTTGAGGAAGACTAGCCTAACTTTGGGAGACTGCAATGCCCTTAGGTAGGCAATCCAAGGACACAGCTGTGTAGAATGAACCACCTGCATTTCAGTTTGAAGTATCAGTATTGATGGACATGGGATCAAAGAAGAAACAGTAAACCTGGAAGATTAAAAGTACAAATTTCCAAAGGGAACATCAATATCTTTGCAAGATCAAGCTTTTTGAATAAAATTGTAACTTTTTTAGAAGGCACGAACCATATTTAAGAAGCAGACAAGGATTTTAGACATAATATAAAATAATGTCACCAGAACTGATTTAGGCTTCTTTTCCACTTCAAGATTCTGTTTTTGATCCATGATTCTTGTGCCGAGTGGAGCTGAAGGGCTGAACTTCTGGGGCATTGGGTGTCATTCTCCAAGGGAAAAGTGGGGTTGGATATATAGGAAGAGAGGACATTCCGATTTGAGCTGTAGGAAAAGATAATGACCTTAATCTCACAGCTGGAGGATAGAAGAAAAGGGGGAAGAAAAAAATAAAACACAGGAAATAAGATCAAGTTGATGGGATTGATGAAACAAAGAAAAGGCACACACCTCTGCTTTCTGTGCCATGAGCCCATTACAATCAGCGTAACCAGGGTGACTATTACAGCCACGTACATCAGTATAAGGAGAATAGAGTAGCCACCTGCGTGGATTAAAATGAACACATCACTGTGTGAAGCACTCCTTTCATTACACTAAGGCTTCTGAAGTTACTGAGGCAATGGGAATCCTAGAAATTTCAGCACAGTTCTCTAGAATTTCTGTTTCAATTCCTCCTGAGTCACCATTCCTCATGCATCCCAACCTTCTTCAACCAAGTCATGAGATCTCTCCTCTTTTCTCTTTCATATCTTTAATTCCCTATTTTCTCTTTCTTCAGACTTCACTGATGTCATTCTCTACCTTTTTTCCCCCTAATTCTCCTACTTTTACCTTTCTTTCATCTAACATCTATACTAATTTCCCTAGCTCCTTTCCCCAAACCCCTAGGTTTATCCTTTATAATTCCCAGCTGGACCTTAGTTCTTTCTCACCCCAGTGAATGATTATATCATGGCCTCCTAGACTGCTGTGCTTCACTCGACAAGACAGACCAGTGGCCTCCCTTTCTGCCACATCCAGAGTTGCTTGGAGATACCATGTCTCATCAGCGTTGGGTAGGATGTCACCTGTCTTAGTGCCCTTCTGCTCCTGCTGACCCTTCATCCACATCACCCACACGGGCTTTGGGTGGAAGCCAGAGACGTGGCACACCAGCTGCAGACGGCCACGTCCAGGGCTGGGGCCTCTGGATAGCCAGACTTCAGGCTTCACTAAATAGGCAAAGGAGGGGAGAAATGGAACTTTGGTCAGCAGCTCTGGCCAGAGCACAAGGTATTCGGGTGGTTTACCAGTTTTAGTAATCACTTCTCCCTCTTATTTAAAAATAATACTACAACCAAATAACTTTCCCTCTATTCTTCCATGTTATGTTTCAAAATAATGAAGGAAAGTACTAAACTCAAAAAACCACAGTAAAAGCACTAAAGAAAGTAAGGAAAGGAAAAACTGTGCTCACCTTGCCGTTCCAGCTCTGACTTCCCTGCTGCAATGAGGCCTGACAGAAATCGAGGGCAGACGCTACTGAGGAGGCTCTGCACTATCTCCGTAATATCTTTGTAGTAACTGAGCACCTCACAGACTTTCTGGGCCCGACTTCCCGCTCCTGGAGATGGCTCCCAAGAACTTCTTTGAAAACTCAGCAAATCAGATCCTTGGTATGCTCCGTTTAAGAAGTTCTCTGAGGTCTTCCCAACATTCTTACATCCACCTGATATCTGAAGTTCAAAGGGGTCTACAGTGGGCAGAAAAGAGAATCAGTATGGAAAGAATGATGTGGAGGACACAACCAATCCGAAGCATAACAGGATTCAGGGTGGAGGGTGGCTGGAGCATAACATGATTTGAGGAATCATATGGGAGGCTATAGTTGAGATTAAAAAATGAAAACAAATTTGTAGGAAGAAACAAAATAAAGGTAATTTGAAATAATAAGTATAGATGGGAAGGCTATTAGAAAGACAAGAGACTAGTCTGGAATAATTCATATAGCAGAGATGAGGTTAGGCCATGGTATAAAAACACTCAAATCAAGGAGAGAGGAAGCAGAAGATGAGGGTGCACCCAAAGGTAGAACAGATATGAATACCTAGCCGTGCTATGTATAGTGGTGGATAATGAAGTAGAGGAAGGAGAGTGAGCCAAAGGGAGACAGAGAATAGAGCCAGGAAGTTGGAGGATGGACAGAATCTCTGCACCAGATACTACTGTGAAGACAGCCAGAGATCTCAAAGAGATCATTTGTGAATACTACACTCACATTCAAACTGAAACTGATGAGCAAAGGCATGCACTTCCCGGGGGAAGTCATGGAAGTATAGCTGGAAAAGTGCCTCGAAATTCTTCAACTCCTCCTTGCTGAAGTCTCCTTGGGACCAGGGCTTCAGAAACTGGATGGTGCCCATGGTACTATTCCAGCCATGAGTCTGCAGATCTCCAATCCAGGCTGAGGCCTGGGAATGTGACCAGCTGTGGTTCTTGAAGGAGGCTATGTGGAGCAAACGGAAGATGAGGGGCTCTTCTGCTTCTGCTGGGTGGTGCCATCCTAAAGGCTGAGGGCCTGAAACAGAGAGTGACTAGAGGAGAGAATGTAAGGGGTGGAAGGGATGCTGCAGAATGAAAAGGAGTTAAACATTAAAAGCAAGAAAGGCTATAGTTACAGGTTGCACGTACACCGATAAGCTCTATACCCACCCCAGATTTCTTGTCCCAAAATCAGACTGGGGGCAAGAATTTTATCCTTATAAGTCAGCCTGGAATGCAGACAACAAGGGCATCTAATAAAAGCATTATTCCTTTTATCTAGGTCCTTCCCAGAATTTTCTCTCCTTGTATGCTCAACCATAGACATCATTTTCCCTGAGCACTTCTTACCGACTATGCTTTTCTCATGGCAGACAAGTCCCTTGAAGAATAGGAGGATCAGGAGCAGCATTGAAACTTTGATTGCTGGCCAGAAAACTGCCCTCAGAACTCAGATAACTGCTGTCCTTCCCTCAGCCACTCACACTCTCATCTGTCTTCCTTTGCTGCACAGACTAATCTACCCTGCCCACTTCCCTCCCAGAGACACCTCCCTGCCTCCCTCAGATGCTGTCTCCCACAGAGTCCCTCATTTCCCCTCCCACCTCCCACCTCCCACTAATGACGTCCACATTGTCTCCCTTCTCCTTAGCTATACTGTCTTGACCTTGCCTGTTACACTGACTGCTACTGAAACAACTTTCAAATTTGATAGTCTGTAGCCTGTCATTTGACAGAAAAAGTGAGTTATTGGAGAAGTCAAGTCCATCCTTGGGTTCTTACTAATCTCATCTGTAAAAGGTAATGGTAGAAGTTACCTGATGTGTCCAGTAACCTTTCCAGCAGTCTTCCCTGCTTGCCTATCTGTGGTCTTCTCCTCCTGTCCATATACCCTTCCTTAATCCCTCTTAGTCCTCCTGGTCATCCTTTACTTATTGGATGTTTGTGCCTCTGAGTCTGCTCTGTCTGGACTCCATGTCCCTGAGTCTCTCCTCCATTCCTTCATTGTCCATCTCTTCTCAAAGTCATTGTCACAATACACAAGGCCTCTGAAATGAGCATGTGAAATTCATAGGCAAATCTCTATACTCCAGAGGAGAAAGGCAGCAACAATGACAAATTAATGCACCTTATCAAATAATCCAAAGAAAATACTTTTTTTTTTTTTCAGTGTCACTAGTCAAGCCAGCTGTCACTGAAGAGGGGCTCAGAATAGGCTTGATCTGGAAGTGGTGAACTGCTAAGATGGCAAAGTCCAACCTCCTGGTGTAGGGGTGGCGGGGAGTGACCTGAAGGAGGGATATACTGGGTACCACTCCTTCCTACATGAGATATGCAGGTCTGGAAGTGTGGGCTAGCTTCATATGGGTGTAAAGAGGGAAATAAGGCAGGCCAGAAGTCTTCCCATCACAGGTGAGGGTGATGTCTGGGTGGACAGTGATCTTCTTGGACACCGAGAAGTGGCTTTAGGAGACTCCAGTGCTCATGGGAGAACTAGTTTTCTAACATGTCTTTATTTTTGTTCCTTTATAAATTTTGGTTTCCAAACAGTCAAATGTCATTATATTGATTAGTTTTCATACATTCATTCTGATGACATTCACCCAGGGCTCATTTAATTCTAAAAATATTGCCATACACTAAGATCTCAGAGATAGAGAAATCCTTCAGAAGAAACAAAGCAAAATCCTAATCAAACTCTCCACTTTTTTATTCAATTGGATCACATAAAAATGATCAAAGTTATTGAAAAATGCCTAACCTAACCATCCTGTCACAGCTTCTGAATTCTATGTTTGAAGAAAAACTTTTCAAAATTTTAGAAACTAACTTCTGATTACATAACAAAGAAAGAGAGGGAGAAACAATGGTTCAATTACTAAATAGGTGGAAATATTTTTGAAATTCTGGCTTATATCTTTGGGAGGGGGCAAAAGAGGAATCAAACTCAGGACCTTGAGCTTGCCAGGCAGGCCATTAAGCTACGAGCTATATCTCTGGCCCCAATATTTTAGATTTCTTTTGTAAGATAAGATGACATTAAAATCCTTTAGTGAGATAAATTATTATTCCTTCACAAGGGAAAATATTAATACATATTTGAACTTTCAAAAACACAATGAACCACAATTTTTATGGAACCAATTACCTGAATAAATCAAAATTTAGCTGGAATGAAAAAGTCATGAAATGATGTAAGAAAGCCTAGTATTAATTTGTCAAAAGTCTGTTTATCTCAGAATAATTTAAAATTATCATGTGCTTGTAAATCTTAATACATTATTTAGTTTTTAACTAAAAATTAATTAATTCTACATTATTTTTTTTTAAATCTGAGAAGGGCAATTAAAAAAGTGAAATGAAGTTTCTTTTAAATCATATTAAATTTATCACAGGAGTGGGACCAAAACTGTTATCAGAAAAATCAATTCAACTATGTATTTGCAAACTAGATTTGACCAAAGAGGCCGAGAGCACAGACAGTAAGTTCCTATTTCCAAAACATAATGTCATATAATATGTGCTTCCTGTAAAAGAACAAATCCTGGAAAACAACAAAATAATTCAAACTTTTGGTAAGAAATTTTAAAGAAATTCTTCAAAAAATAAAGTAGATAAGGTCACTTCAAATCCACAATCATTAACATAGACAGAAGAAAAGTTATAATAAAATGATTAAATATTATAAAAGAATGCATAAAAATATGAAGCTATTTAGAAAATTAATGACCAATGTTTACTGAGTTCATTCATCTTCAGGATGTTCTAGAAGTAATAGCACAATGTCGATGTCGCTCCCGGCCGGCAGGAAGGACACACGACAAAGTCTGGCAGTGGACAACCTTTTCTTTTATTTTCTCTCCGTAGAGCCTGCCCTGGGATCGCTCCCAGCCGAAGCCTCCTCTGGTCCGCTCCCCGCGGCTCCTTCCGTGCTTCGCTCCGAAGCCTCTACCGGTCCGCTCTCCGTGGCTCCTTCCGGGCTTCTACTTCCCCCCAGGGGTGGCACCAGTATATATACGGATACAGTGTCCAATCATGTTAAATAAGCAAGGCAAGCTGATTGGCTAACATATTATTGAGCGGGTTGTTTACGCGGTAAGCAGGAAACTAACGTGCTCGATGGGAGGGGTAATCTAACTCAGGCTTTACTCTTTACCACAGGCCGCATGATCGCTATATGCGGCGGCTCGGCAATGTGGTGGCTCCCAACATCTCCCCCTTTTTTATTTTAAATAAGTCTACGCATCGCAGCCCATCCTGAATTGAGTGTAGAGGCCTATGCCCTGATAGGAGGCCCACCAAGGGCTCTCGGCGTCGGCCCAGGTCGGCCGTCCCCGAGTCTGCCGAGGCCCCGAGGCCCTCGTCCTTTTTCCAGGGCCAGGAAGGAACCGGACGGAACCTGGATGCACACAGGCATACACTCATGTCGCTCCGCATGATCCCCCCTGGGTGACATTTGGTTCGGGCGGAACCTAGTAATTCAGCGGCTTTCGTGCGGTATGGGGTAGGGCCTGTCTTAGGTTGAGTCATGCTGGGGAGGCATGCTCTTACCCGTCATTGACTCATCTACCCTGCTATATCATAATTTTTTAGAGGAGGAGTGTGGGAAGCTCACCGTCCCTAGACTCGGTCGTAGGCTAGGCGAGCGAGCCATGCATATGCCTGAGGATCTTCTTGTCCATTTCGGGCTACCGCTATTTCTATTCATCTTGTTGGTTGGTCTGTGATGGATCTCCGGTAGGGCAGGTCTGATCTTCAGTCGAGGGCTTTGTCGCCCGTGTCAGTCTCTCCGGTACCCACAGTGGTTCTCGTCCCGGTTCCTGTGGGAAGACACAAACCGCACCTCGGTTCCAGCTGACCACTGGATCCGGGCCCATCCATTGTCCTGTCAGGACATCTTTCCACTTCACCCACCCTTTATGGTTGGGGGAAGGGTTGCAGTGCTCCACAGCTGGGGAGCAATTATCATTATTTAAATTTAAAAAATTGTGTGTGAATAGTGCCATGGATAATCGTGCCTTTGGGGCCAGGCCTTGGCCTACTCCCCCTTTTTGTTTAGCTAGAATTGCTTTGAGACTTCTATGGGCTCTTTCGATGATTTTTTGACCTTGGGGATTGTATGGGATACCATGTTTTAATTGAACCTCCATCATTTTGCAGAACTCATTGAAGGCTTTGCCTATATAGGCTGGTCCATTATCAGTCTTTAATATTTTTGGTTTGCCCCATGCGGCCCAAGCCGCCAGGCAATGATTGATCACATTAGACACTTTTTCACCTGTTTCTGCTGTTGCAAATATGACGTGAGAACAGGTGTCTGTGGAAACATGAACATATTTAAGAGTCCCAAACTCCTGTATATGTGTGATGTCCATCTGCCAAACATCACCAGGGATCAAACCTCGAGGGTTTACTCCCATCGGTATGGCAGGTTTGTATGTGGCACAGGAGTCACATAGTCGCACGATATCTCGTGCATCTGCTCTGGAAACATGGAAATGGTTTGCTAGTGTCCTGGCATTGACATGAAACTTATCATGGAAGGCACGGGCTCGCTCGATTGGTGTTAGTAAGGTGAAAATCCATAACGGGCGAGTGGCAGTGTCAGCAGCCGCATTCCCCTGTGCCATAGGCCCTGGCAGGGATGTATGTGCTCTTATGTGGGTGGTGAAGACCTTATGGTGTCTGTTCTGGAGCAATGTCTGGATAAACAGGAACAGCCCAGCCACTGTGGAAGTGGATCTAATTAAACTGGCAGTCTCAAGCACTTGCATAGCATTGACCACATACCTAGAATCGGAGACAATGTTAATGGCTCCTGAGAACCGTTCAAGAATCATTTTAACGATCTGCAGTTCCACCACCTGAGGCTGATCAGGTTCAAATTGTATGGTAACCGGGGGCTTGCCTAGGATCACATAGGCGCCTATCCCCGTCTTGGAGCCATCTGTATATATTGTAGTTGCTGGGACTAATGGCTCAGAGGCAGTAACCTTTGGAAAAATTACAGGGTGCTGAGTAACAAATGACAAGATAGGGTCTTTAGGGTATTGATTGTTTATATCCCCATGGAAAACACATCTCAAAATGGCCCAAGTATCTATGCAGGCAGCCAGGGTCTTGATCTGGCTGGCGGTATAGGGTACTCGGATGGCTTGTGGTCCTGAGCCAAAATGTTGGACAGCTCTATCATGCGCTTCAAGGGCCAATGAAGCGACTGCCTCCGGGTAATGCTCTATGACTTTTGCAGGTGAGACCTTAGGGTGTATCCACAGTAGTGGTCCTTTCTGCCAAATCACCGCTGTGGGCTGTAGACTAGTCTGTAGCAAACAGACATCAAAGGGTCGCCCTGGTTCAATTTTGTGTAAGGTAGCCCCACCTAAGGCTTTTTCCACTCTCTGTAAGGCAGCT